TGTGTAATACGAGTAGACACTAGAGCGAGCGATCAGTAGTCGTTTCTCGAAACCTTTCGACTAAACTCAGAAGGCTTGAATCAAATTCTCTCGTGTATTCACTTTTCAAAACTGTCTGGTATATATATCAGATTCGAATCTATAATAAATATTGTTTTCTTAACAGTGTCCTACAAAGTTAATAGAACTATAATATTTATTATATAAAAATGGGATCGGACCGAATTAAATATTTAAGACAATTTTTTTACCGGATTAATAGACTAATTCCTAAAATATATTTTTCAACCCGGACACAATTAAACTAAGCAGACAAATGTTTTAAAAGCCCGGATCAATATTATTAACACGTCACACGCCGTTCCACCACACAAATGATACTTCACTACTGTTTTTCAACCGAAATTTAAAAGTGGAATATCTCGTTAACTGATTGACAGAAATCAAAATTTCAATATTGAATTTTTTTTTTTTAACTAATACTTCATCTATTCATGAATATTTTAATATTGGTTGTTATTTGAATATCAAAAGTAGGAAGTGATTTTACTCTCAAAAATAAGGATGACAAAAAATAATATAAGCATAAAATTGTAGAGCTGCTTGGTTCTTAAATGTCCTTGAAAACAAATTCCGGAAAATGTCAATACTTTCCCAAATAATGAGTGTACCCATTTAAATAAATCTTTAAGTTTTTTGCTGTATCCTACCTTGCCAACTTTCCTCCTACAACAGTGGCTGCACCCGTCCTCATTATTTATAGGACAGAATTTGTTTATTATTATTTTAAATATTTTATATTTTCATACATTTNATTCGAATGCACCCATTGCGAACACGCATGAAACGACATACGAACATGGAATAATCGCAGTGGTGGCGAATTTGTCAATGGTGGAAAAAGGACGGAAATATTATTCAACCATGAATTCTGGGATAACCGTAATGCACCTCATCTTTAAAATAGTTCACCGTTTACCATCTCCTTCCAGAATCTTATAAAAAAAGTGATTCGTAATAATTTAGACCTCCTCTCGAGTCACTCGAAAAGTGTTCATTATATTTATGTGTTATGTATTATCTACATTGTTGATGTACTTGATATTTTTATCGTTAGTTATATTAAACACGATTTAAATATTTCAGAATGTTATGCATCGCTTTGAACAATGTGAGTATTTATTTAGATCTATCCACGATTTGTATAATTCCCAAATTAATAGTTGCGTTAAATGACGACATCAAATACGTGTGCGTCGCTCCCGAGCTATCGTTGTTTTCACCTAAGCTAAGCTGATCCAGTATTTCGTACACGTGTACTAGAAAAGCGTATTGTATAATAAAGATAACACAAGTATTCACGAATACTGTATTAATGATCAATGTCTATTGTTGGACGCCTAATAAAATCATAGTTTTGGGTTTCTGAAGAGATGTTTAGAACGCGTTTTTTAACTAATGAAACTTTAAAAACATAAATAAATTTCAATACTCTATAATTTAGTGGCGGATGAAACCTTTATGCTTCTGCCAAATGTTGTGCGACCTTATGCTGGTAGAGCTTAATGAAATTTACAAGACGAAAAATCAATTTTTAACTATAAGTATGTAACCCAACTATTTAAATATATATAAATTAAAAATTATTGCACATTTACCTTCAAATGATCTTAAAGCATGACGTGTAGAAATTCCCGCAAGATATATAGTATTAGATTACATTAAAATGGCTATATATTTATTAGATGCTGATCAAAATATTCATTACCATTATTTTGAGTCAATATTGAAACTCGCTCAAATTAGGCGTACACCTCACTACCTCAGTGTGCTCATTGCAACATGGGTAATAGCAAACCCAACCAAAATATATCGTAAGTATTAAGTTAATAATATTTGATTGTTTACATGTCTTCTTTTTTTTGTAGTAATTAAAAGAATGTTATACCTGCATCTAATGTCTCAGTCTTAACGGGATATGGTAAATTGCCCTTTTTCTGCCAAAATTGCTAAAATTCCCCTTTACACAGCCTTTACACAGAAGTCGAGAATTTTGTTTATTTCTCGAAGTGACAACCTCTTTCGCTTCAGCCCATTTATCGAAAAGACGTACTCATTCGTCACTTGTTGAAAAGTAAATCACTGACTAACAATACAAACGAAACATTGGCAGTCATGACATAATTTTCGTCATAATCGTCATTAATCGTCGTATTCTTATCATATCGTTCGATAACGAGTTTGTTGAACGAGTTCATTATCGTTAAACCTAATGCTATCACCATTTTGTCATTATTTTTAATGATAATCCACCGTTATATGTGTCCGCTATTCGTCATCTTATTGAGTTCGTTATCTGTCCCCGTTTCCAAAAGAACGTCCGCTATTGGGAGGTTCCGTTATAGAGGGTTTCATATGAATATATATATACACAGAATGTTTATTGGATTTTATGTTAAGAAATTAAAAATAATTTTAACTTTACTATATTATTGTAACATTATACTATAGACTAAAAATGTTAAAACATCTATAAAAATAAAACACTACATATATATTACGGAAGTTGTTCAAAATCCCGACGGTTAAATAACTATATTAAAGAGACTTTTAAGACCCTAGACACTCATTCACGACCTCCCATGTAAGGGACATTGCGAATGACTGCTTTAATCTATAATAACTCATATAACACGAGTAAATATTTAGAAAAATGTATATATAATGTATATATATATATATATATATAGTATACGATCAATCTTCCGTAAGACACTGATTTTTTCAAAAAGTATACAAACATGATATTTTTCAGGATTTTCTTTTTGAATAATTCATAACGTATAGGCAGTGAAACTAATCTAAATTAATGTTAATCTGTGTTGACGTAATATATAAATTAAATACCTATTAATATTATATTGTGTATTAATTCTAATTTTGACATTATGAGGGTAATTTTATGATGGTTACTAGACAAGTCGACCGTGGGATCGTCTGTATCGGAGAGGTATCACGCTGTATTTTTATTTTATTTTATATTATGCATATTGTATCTGTTGAACAGTGTTACAAGTGTGAAATATTTGTACTTATATTAGTAAATAGACGCACAATAATATTTCACACTGTACTGACGAATGTACCTGCGGCATATAGACATAATTTTATAGGCATGGTGTCGTACTTAAATATGTGCATACACTACACAGGTACTATAAATACCGGCTTTAGGTTAGATTAGGTAAGTTTTGTTTGTACAAATAACTATATAGTAATAGATCTAGGAAAATATATCCTAAGCACTTTACACCATATTATTCTGTATACCCTACTTTAGCGTATGGGTCTTATATTCCAGTACATATTATTTAGTAGGGTTTGAATTCTGTTAATGATTTAAAACATTCTCATCATAGGTACCTGTGACAAATATACCTAATATACTATCCGTTAGTTTTACTTACATAATTTGATGTGTGGACCATAGCGGAGATTTCATTCGTAATTATTATTAAAAGCACAAAGAAAATCAAAATACGATTTACTTACTCATGAACTAGATTAAAAATTCAATAAAAATAATCTGTTGTAATTTTTTTATGGGAGCAATTTTTGTGGTAAAAAACTTGTACACATTTTAAATAATTAATCGTTGATTTATATATAGTTATATATATATAACTACTTAATATTTAATATAAATACCCTGATATTTCACAGGAAATTATCATCTAATTTTAGGAGGGACTATGGATGATTTGTTTGGATTGAGACTTTTAGAGTCTAGACCTTCCAATCTCCACCAATTTTATGAACACAATTTATAATCTTATTATATTAAGTACCTATATTTACCGCCGGTAGTCTATCGACTACTTATTATATTATGGTTGTAGATATTTTTTTTTTTATAAAATAGATAATATTGTTAGTAGGTAGGTATTTAATATTAAATAGTTTAATAATTATACAAAGAAATATATTTGTTTGACAATTCAAAAAAAAATAAAAAAAATTAATAGACCGGTAATTAGGTGTAATTATCATGTATAATAATAAATTACGTATTACGATTTTTATATATCTAATTACTAATCAATATATATATATATATGTATCTATATTTTTGTTTTAGTTGAATTAGCTATTTAATAAGACAATTTGTTCGTTATTATTTGTTTTATACCTAATAGTTTTATAAAAGTTTAAAAAAAAACGAAAAATAACAATATTACACTGTACTTTTCTCACGTGTTACGTGGCAATCTAATGACCGAAGAAGCCCGTGTCTAAAAATAAACCCAAGGGTAACAAGAAATAGCAAACATAATTATATATATAGTTATATGTATGCTCTGCAGACATCGTATCTATATGCAGTTATAATTTATGTAATAAATTAATGTTAATTATTTAAATGAGCTCGTAAGTTTTATAAGCACACCACATAGCAAATTATCGTTCACTGGGACAGCTCTGTGCTGTTAGTTTAAATATTAAAATCAATTGATTTTTATCAAACCTAAAGATAATAACAGTAACTGTGCAACTGCATCTGTGTTTTCGATGTTTTAATTTTCAAGCGAGATATGTGTAATGTAAGTTTGTGATACATTACAATTTTATTTAAAAATGCCTATATCTTGCTTAAAAGTTAAAATATCGAAAAAACTAACGTTATTGCAAAGATTATATTATATATTTACGTTCGATAATATTACAGTAAATAGATACATATTATTCGGGAATCTCTCAATAGTGGTGTAAGTTTTTTTTTTTTTTTTTGTAGTAAAATAATAGTATAATCATTTTAGTGCTCACCGATATCAATATAATATAATATGCATACGAAATGGCCTGTGAGAGTTCGAATGAATAACAAAAAGAAAAAATACATCGTATTATAAGAAGTATTTTTTTATTTAGATAAATAGATTTAGTGCAATATTATTTAATATTTAACACAGTAACTCTAAAAATGTGAAACAAACTGTTACCTTCAAAACGTTATAATCATAATATAATATGATATAATATAATAATTATCAAAAACGTCCATAATTATTATTGAATGTTTAATATAATAATTATCATTCTAAATATTTAGTTAGAATTTTGTATCAATATATAATTAATATATACGAACATTGTGGACAATTAGCGTCTATGATAATCCTAAAGATTTGTCAGATAAAATAAATTACGGTTTTTAAATATAAAAACAACATGAGTAAATACTTAATACTTTATTAATTATTTAGTTTATTTCATCAATATGTTGTGTGCACAAGCCCGTTATCTAACGAAATTGGTGAAGTTTTATAACATAAGTAATACATTATTATCAGTGTTAGGCATTATCTAGGTATAGATACAAAATTAATTATGTTTTACTTAATCTAGATAGTTAACAATGAATAATTGAATTATCTAAACTAATTTATCTAAATCGATTAATAGTCTTATGTACTAATTTTAAAACGTGCGCTTTTATTCTTAATAAAAATAAAATATAATATTCAAGTTGAAATCAAATTGAAAACCCAATCTACAAAAATAAATATCGGATAATAGTATAATTGGAAATTAAAGAGTATGTGAATACTGTAAAGTATATGTGAATGTAAATTATTAAAATTGAAAATTATACATTTATTTTTATCTATATAATTTGTAATAATTTGATAATAATCTATCTTTTATCTTTATCTGGACACGTTTATAATTATCATTGTCTAACACTGATTATTATTATTGCGCAGTAAGAGCAGTGTTGAGCATTATCTAAATAAATTATTTAGATAAATATAAAATTATCTTTTATTTTATCTAAATAATAAACAAAATTAGTTATCTGATGAATTATCTTAGACGAATAATTGAATTATCTAACGTGATTCATCTAGACAAATAAATACATATACCTATCCGAAAAATTCGAAAAATTTAATTTGAAAGTTAAAACCGATGTCTCATTAGTAAATCAGATTTTTTATCTAGATAAATAATAATTTATTTTTTATCTAGATAATTTAGATTCTAACTATATTTTATCTCTATCTTGATAAATTGTATTTAATTATCTTTTATCTTTATCTAGATACATTTTTGGTTATCTTTGCGCAATACCGAGTAATAGTACATTGAAATAGCCACGTGACAAATTTTCTATATAAATTATTATACGTCTGTTATATTTGTTTACGATTTTTATAAAATAGATGTTTAAAACGTCAATACCATCACCCGCTGTAACGTGTAATATTACTATCAAATAATAATTTATATCGGGTTGATTTAAAGGTCGTAAGACTGGCCCTCGAGCGTGACGCCCGGTAAAAGTTCAGTCTTCGTCGCTTTGTACAATTGTTGGTTCAGTTCGTTTTTGAAGTCCTTTGACTGTTTCACGTTGTCCGTCATCATCTCCCGTTGTTTGCGATCGTCCGGTTGTCCAATTTTGCTCGTTATTCCGACGTATTCTGTATAACCGCCTTCGCGAACGTCGAGCGATTTCGAAGAGTATTGCACGTTCCGACCTTCCAGTGACGGACGTTTATAATTAGTTTTTTTCAAAATACCCTGAAAACCAACAATGTCCCACTATCACAAACCAAAAAGAAAAATAATCATATTCGTGTATACTAATTATAAGACCGTCTCGCCACGGGGTTTGAACAATTGACTGTACACTATAATAATAATTCCGTACAGCGTTGACCCGTGATAATCATATTATTATAGAAAAGGTCGATGCTGCTGAGGTGTGTGCGTTCGTTTTAAGAGATAAGTAAGAATGGAGGATTTATAGAGTAATTTAATTTATATATGCACGCAACTATAAATCATTGCTAACGAAAAACAATTCCGAGCAGAGTATTATTAGTCGTATTTGTTATCATTTTTGCCAAGGTAACCAAGAAATTAACAAACATTTTAATTTTTTCCGATTTAATAAAAAAAACAACAAGGAATATTAACAAAAGACCTTCCTAATGCACTAATTAAATTAAAAATACTACAAGAAAGTTCTTATGAAGTTTTTGATTGGAATATGATTTCTGGTATAAAAGTTGTTTAGAGGCAAAAAAAAAACATCATAGTGAAAACTATAATTCCCTCTATTCGTTTTGAATTTAAAAATCTATAAAATGGCTCATTCGATTATTCAATTGTTAATATTACATAACAAGCTCGAATAGAAAAAAAAAAGCGAAATTACAGGAGCAGACGTCATTGGAAAGCCTCCTTCTAGGGTTTTGATTTTGGGAAAAATATATATGCGCCTGGTCACTGTAAAATCACGAATCCAATATTGTATACTAAGGTATATCTAATTTTTATCGCAGCTGAGCCTATAGACAGACAGAAGTGAGAATATTTCAAATGGTATAGTAAAAATATTATCGAAAGTTCATTGTTAGCTAATATTATGGAACTTTTACTTACTGTTTGACTGCGTTAAATTGTATAGTTATTTATAGTGCAGAGTACACCTAACTCAAGATCGACTGCATAATATTTATATTTTGTATATTTTCTGGATTTTAAATCGTCCAGAAAGTATGCGTAATTTGTCCATGGTTAGCTAACAATAGAACAAAAATAACACTATGCACTTTGGTACCTGAAAGTTGTAAGGAGGATCGTCTTCATTTGCGGAATTCGATTGATATTGTTTCCCTTTCGATTGAAGTTCGTAAAGAGGATTTGGCTTTTCCGACGGTCTAAAAATGTTCAAATTTAATCAGCTGCAGTTCTATTTTAAATTTGTATATTATATAAATAGTTTTATAATAGATATAATATTTTACTGACACATTATTACTACATAGGTATTTATTTTGAGTTAAATCTATACATTTAATATGTGGAACAAACTTGATTGTTTTTGGTTTAGGAGCGATCCTGTTCGTCTTCGTATTATCGTTTCTCTCTGTCACACTGTATCTGTTGTCAAATACGGGTTGTTTTATTTGTTTTTCTTCGTAGTTTTTAATATCGGTTTGTTTATAGCCCTGGTGTGAATTAGATTCGTTTTTATTCACAGTTTGTGAATAATCGTAATTGGTGCCGGAAAATCGTACACCTCCGTTCAAATCCACTTGCGTACCTTGGTCTATTTAAAATAAATCACGATAAATTTTTAGCTCTCCATCCGGATACGTCACTGTATAAGGTAACTTAATATATATATATTTTTTAAAGATAATTCGAAAAAATAATCGTATCAACCGTTTTACTTTAATTATTTTTTCAATTTTTCGTATAACAATGTAAAGATATGCACACAAAAATATTACCTCGGACTGCGAACGAATGTTTTAAAATCCTAAATGTAGTACGCGATTCTGGAAGACGGTTTAAAGGGGAGTCCCAATTGCAATCGTCGATACTGCTTGTAATACTGAAATGATAAATCCACCACCAAGCAAGATATCATTATTGATGTTTATTCTAGGGGGAAAAACACACAGAATCTTTCACGGTTTATGTCACGGTAGATTTCTCTACGAATATTTAAAACACATTTAATTAATTAATTATTTTTTAAACAATCCTTCAAACTATCCGATGAAAACTATTTGGATTCATAGATACTATATTATTTTATTATTCTAAATAAATTTAATATTCATTTACTAAATATCGAAAACACGGACGTAACATTTAAAATTAATATCGGGAACAGTATTATGAAATATATCACAATGATGTGAGTGATTAATGTATAAATTACTCCGAAGGGGTGCTATATTTATCGAAAATTGAGGGGGCGTTCCCGAGAACTAGCTAACTAAACTTAATCAAACTTTCAAGAAACCCATCACGGAAAGTGTACACAAGAATGTCCAAAATGTTTATTTTTCGTATATTGGTTACATATAAATGTTCTACTAATAAGGTTTAAAAATAAATGACACCCTCCCTTCAAATTTTATTCCACGCATATAGTCACCCAGTATAGAAAGTTAAACTGAATCTGATTACGTATAATCGAATAGGTATTAATGAATTTATTTTTAGTTTAACTAATTCGAGTTTTTAGAATCTCGTTAAAAATATCTCAGTGACAACATAACTAAAGCGTCCCCTCAGTTTTCGAAAACTTGTTTAAGTCTAAAAGGGACTGATAATGATGTTTATAATTTTTAAAGAGCTTGTGTACTATAGACTATTATAATATTATTACGTATATTAGCCGTTGTTACTTTTCGTTTAAAAAAATATTTTCGTCGGTTGTCACGTTCATTTTATTTAATTGAAACGGCATTTTATACATGTAACATTTCTTGCTGCCCAAAAACTCATTTACGCTGGTCGTACTCATCACGTTTCCCAACACGACCGGCTGATGGTTTATGTTGTTTAGGTTACCGAGTACATGTTGGTTATACATGTGTACCTATAAATTATTATATAACATTATCAACATAGAAAATCAATGACACAACATAGTAGGCTTTTTCATTATACGTAAAAGTACTACGAAATTACTTGTTGCGAAAAGTACACTACGTCTTGAAGTTTTTTTGCTCGGTCCAACAATATGACTTGAAAAATCGATTTTGCTTTCCATTTATTACAATAGACTTTTAATAATTTAAGAGTTACAGCGTCAAATTTATCTAAAAAAAAAAATTGTATTTATGAAAACTTATCAGGTGGTACTGCCTTTTTTTTTTAGATTTTAAGCTTTTCTATTTCTTTTTTTCAAACTGTCCAAAAAATAAAAATACGAATAAATTTTATCATAACTAAGTTAAGTTACACATTTTTAGGGAAATTATAGACTGAGTTAAAAATTAAAATTTACTTTTTTTTAAACCATAAATGTCAATCATAAACATACTTTGTACGTCTGATAGTGATTTTCACGTTAATATACCAAAAAAATATGTAAATTTTGTTGAAAATTCCAAAAACAGGTCAATAAAATTTTTTTTTTAAGAATGCGTAAATATATTATACAGTAGTTTAAATGTTAAATTGAAATTATTCATTAAAAGAAATAATCAACTAATTTTTTTCTCAAAACTATTAAAGTTGAAATTTGATCAAAATAGGTGACTTATAGCTTAAAATTAAACTTTTTAACTAGTTACTGCCTGTATTTGTACTCAGGGTGTACTTAAAAATATATCTATAGCATCATAAAGATTAATTATAATTTTTATTTACCAGTATTTGCTGAATTATTTTTATTTCGTACTTGATATCCTCTGTAATCTATTTTAAAATAAAAACAATTCATATTATGTACTTGATTTCTGATTTGTGGTACGGTGTTACGTGAAAATAACGGACCGTCATTCTTAAAATATAAAAACCACTAAGGTTTTATTAAAAAATATATTCATTTTTTTTTTAGTATGAACATCACAAAAAGTAATGAGGATTCTAAAACTGCATGAAAGTTGAAATATATCATTTGCATGGACAAAAAATGCATATAATTTATTTTTAAATATAAAATTTAAATTTTATTTACGGCAGACGTATACTTAAGGTCACTGAACGATTCTAGACTACCAGTAGCTTTTTTAAAAATTGTTACCAACAAATTGAAAACATTTACAATTAACAAAATATAATCTTCATAAATAGTTTGAACATAATCAGTTTAAATTTTCGATATTATAGATATTTGTTTGTTGGGATACAAGTGAATAAAGAATATACAATTTTATGGCTTAAGGTGAAACCAATGCTACAATATTAGGTATTTAGTTATAAAACATAACACAAATCCGAACCAAGAAACAAATAATATTTAGGAGAAAATGCATTTTTAAAAATTTCAAGCAGCGTGAAATATTTCGTTATCACAACTCTAGTAATAAAGTTACATGTATGTTATTCAGTAGTGAATTTTTTTTCTATGAAACATGCAGGTTGAAAAACCTTACTCAACCATACCTAGAAGAATCGAGAGCTGTAACGAATAAGCCTATCAGATGTCCCAGTACTTCACCTTTTTCATTAACATATCTTATGATAAAATGCCACACATACACCCACTTTAAAGGATACCCATTTACATTACCACTTCTTGAATATACAGGGCGTAAAACGAAAATCTAAAATCTGAAATAACTTTTGTTCTGTTCAATATTTTAAAGTATAATTCCTCTATTTTATACATTTTTTAAGACTAAATATAAAAAATTTAAATTTTCAAACAAACTTTTTTTACAAAATCTAAGGTAGACATTTTATACATTTATTTTAACACAAAACTTTGGTGTTAAAAATATATACAAATTATTAAATGTTAATTGTCTACAATTCTTAAAATTAATAATAATTAAATTATTATTGTTTCATTGCGACTGATTGTACTAATCGATTCATCAATTTGCACATAAAAATAATTTTGTAAAACTAATTTTGTAAACAATTAAAATGTTTGTTTTTAGTTTTAAAAAATATAAAAATAGAAGAATCAAAGGGAAGACTCTAGAAATTATTACAAGAATAAAAAACTTAAAAATATTGAACGGAACAAAAGTTATTTAAGGTGTCTCTGTAATCTGTACAATATAATTATTGTAATAATTTTAATGATTAAAATTTATATTGTGTATAATTTATTATCGCTTACGTTTTTGTAAGACAAGAGCTGCTTCCTCCTGAGACGTTGAGTGTACTAATTGATGTTCCGAGGCTAAAAACATAGTTTTAGAAGCATTACTTGACTGAAGTAAGCATATTATAACATAACTACAAAATAAATATAAAGAAAACATTTTTAAAAAAGAGCTGATACTGGGGATAAGTGAGTCATTGTTGTTGGTGGAAAGTTGAGAAGGTAAGATACATAGGAAAGAAGTATAGGTAGGAAGTTATTTAGTTTAAATCGATAAACGATAATCCATTGCTAATGAAAAACGATTCGGAGCGAAGTTCGGTTATACATTTTTGGAAAAGCGGTAATATTTAAGATTTCCATTAAAATTTGTATAACAAAAAAAATACTATCTTATAATCAATTTTTTTTTACCACAAAGTACGACTTATAATGAACAGTTCTATTAAATTTTCAAATACTTCTGTTTAGTCTAACAATTTTATTCACAGAGTACTTACCAATTAAAAATTACATACAAAACTCGCAAAATTGAAATTTCTATAAATAGCTAAAAAAAAAATGGTTAAAATATTTTGAAAATTTTACCACGTTTAAATGAGACAAATATGAGTTTTTGTAAAAATTTCAAGTCTCTTAGAATTTTCGTAACTGAATTATTACCAAAAATCAAAATTTAAAATAGTAAAAGCGTAATTTTCATAAGTTTTCCCGTTATTTCTATAGTCGATTATTAAAATTTATTCAATTATTAAAAGAATTACCGACATAGAAAATTAAAAAAAAAAACTAATTTCTTTGTAAGCATCTAGATTTAAAGTTCAACAAAAATGGTATCCTAGATAGTTTTTCTATAGAAGAAATATTTCTGATAAAAAATATAATTTTCAAAAATTAAAAACAATAAAATCAATAACGCCGCGGTGCTCCGTAAATATTACCGTAAAAATTACTTCTCTAGTTCACCAACTCGACGAAATTTTATTTCAGAAAAAATGCTACACTTTACATCGGAGCAAGATTTCTATTCAAAATTTGTTAACAAACAAAAAATACAAAACATAAATCATAGTGAAACGAATCGCTACGCTCCGAACCTAAAATGCATATTATATTTTAACATATACGAGATTAAAGTTTAATAAAACATAAATTTTTAATCTTCAAGGCGAAACATGATTCTATAATTTCTACATAGGTACTTAATATAATATTGAAATTGAAACTATAATAATTAAAAGTTTTTTGTTACGATATCTTAAATGTTTACGTTCAATATTTTTATAATGTATTATGCATTATTATTGTATTGTATTATGTAATAGCATTTTTAAAAATAAAATTATTCTGTTCCTGTTGTAGGTAATAGTATGTAAGTGTATGCAATTTTAAGTATTTAATAGGTATATTATCCCCCCCCCCCTCGGAAGAAACCGTCTGAATCGTCAAAATCAATGAAAAAAGAAAAAAAAAGTATAGGTTCTACTATTGCAAATTCTAAATTGTACATATTATATTATAATATAGGTATAAACACATTACTATTAGCGCACATCCAACTATAATATTATTAAATTGTTTAGTATGGTAAATTCAATTTGTTTGTTTCGCGTTAGCTTGGTAAAAATTAAAACACTTTAAATATATTATAATTGTTATAAGTGTTAAATGCGTGAAAATATTTCAGTCATATAAGAACATTTTTGAAATGAATTCAATGTTTTAAATATTGAAATAGGGTGTGATTATGGCAAAAACTATTCGGGCACAATTGTGAAACCAATTTTTTGGCATGGAAAAAGAAGGACTTGCACTATGCAACGTTGGTTTTAGTTTTTCGATACTACAAAAAAAAAGCTCTGATACTGCTGATGTAGGTGCAAAGTTGGAAATGTAGAAGAGGGGAATTTAATGTTTATCTGTACGCAACGATTATTAATCTATGCTAACGAAAAGTGATTCTGTGTGGAGTTCGGTTATACGTGGTTTTTTAAAAGGCCGTAATATTTACGTTTTAAACAATAATATACTTTGTAAACTTTCCCGTTTTTTCTACGTTTTTTTCTGGTTTTGTTCAATTATTAAGAAAACTACATGGAAAATTAGGAAACGACTTTCTTACTCAATAACTAGATTATCCGACATTTCAACAAAAAAAGGTCTCTTTTCGTTTTTCGATTGGAACAATATTTCTGTTCGATAAGTTATTTACAGCCGGAAAAATAACTCACACATCATAGTAAATCCAGCCCTCGCTCCGTTTCGAAAAAGTTATTATTTTTTTAAAATTGAATAATTCAAAGTTTTTTTTAGTTCAAAAACCTATTTTCACAAAAATGATATTGATAAACTAAAACCAACGGTGCACATTGTAAATTCTCCTTTATCTTTTATGGTGAAAAGTTGATTTCTTATTAATAAAGGTCGAGTAGTTTCTGTCCATACGAAACGGTATTTCCGTACACACTTTTGTTAATTTCGTGTTTACAGAATGATACTTTTAAATGTATTTCAAAGTGAATTTTAGAAGTTATGAAATATTAGTTTTCGAAAAATGTCGAGATAATTGCTTACACGCAATCCCCTTTAATTACGGGGGAGGAGGGTAACACGCGCCGGCAGTACCGTTAGTGTCCGTCCAATAACTTAAATTAAATAAATTAAATCTTCTAGTTTTATTGTTTAAACGTTTTCTATTAGCTTTATAATGTAAGATTTCGTTATATTGTAAGATACTTGAAAAATTATATTTTGTTAAAATGTAAAAGAATGAAAATCTTTTTGTAATTTAATAACGTTTTCAAAGTAAATTCGACGCTTCGGATATTAATTAATCGGATATCAATATTAATTTATTATTCCGCCCTCTCGACTGCGAATTCCTCATTGGCCTCGTTTGTATAATTGTTCACGATATTATAGAGTTTCTCGTAATATTTCGGTTCAGCGGCGGAGTGAAATTCGATTTCGATCGCGGTTTGATTGAATTTATTTTAATATATTGAATTTATTTAATTTTGCATACGATGCGGCTGGCCCGTTTTAATAAACATGGAGTTTGTCCGCAATCTAAAGGTGTCGATAGTTATAATTTAACATACAGTACTGCAATGCTATGTATTCTGGTTCAGAGGCGTGCTCACGGAGGAGGGAGGTGTAGTTACGAGGTTGTCATATCCCTTTGACCATTTTTTTTTTTCAATAGCTCTTTTATGCTTTGTGAATTCCCCGGAACAATATTATTGTCTTTTTTTTTTTTTTTTTATTGATATTTGGTAATATTAAATATAAAACCATCGTACTGTGAAATCGAATATTATTTGTTCTATTATTATTATTATTTTTAAAAACAGATATATGGTTTGAAGCGGTGGTGAAGGGGAGTGGAGGGCGATGAATGCCCTACCCCATTCACCCCGCTTCCCTTTCATGGTAATTTCAGTATGAGTTTTGGCTAGATAATGATGAAATTTAATTTTAATGAAAGTGGATTCGTTGACTTGGCAATGAATAAATTAAAATACCGTGACGTCATATTCTTTCCTCGTACCTACATCAAAGTTTTTGAAAATATTAGTCGCGTCACCAGCAAGCGAAGCGTGTGTGGAGTGTAATTTTTCATTCTTCCGTCGTCGTCGCTGTCGTTCCTCATACACGGTTAAGAACAAAATCGACAGAATTCTAATCCGCACAAAAGCTTGAAATTTCTTAGTTTGATTTTCGTCGTAAATGTGCGCTTCATGTGTATTTTTAAAATCGCCCCTCTCTTATTGTTTTCTCTACCTGATTATTCTTTGTTCTGATTTGAAGGAGCAGTAACCAAGTGTTGTACCAAATTAAAGCTGAACATATGTTAAATCATTTTATAAATATGACCTATAATAGTTAATTCATGTTTTATTCGGATCCCTTCCGGACACACCTCCCCCCCCCTCAAAAAAAAAAAGTAAAAACATTGAGCACGCCACTGCTCTAGATCTAATATAAAAACAAAATATAAATTACGAATTACGACTATTAATATACTAGTATCTATATTAATTTCTGTATTAATTTCTATATTATTTTCGCGTAAATAATCACAGGCTATGTTATTTTATAATTTTATCGTTACGGCACTAAATATTATACTGCATGCACTCGTTCGGTATATTACCGGCCTACTGACGCGTATTTACATATTTTATTTTAAGAGGACGTGATACCCGTATGGTCCGATTAACGGTCGACACATCGCCTATAGACATACGCTTACGCTGCAGTCTTGAGAGTAGAACTCGATAAATTTTCGGTTTCAGAGGAAAAGCTTACTGTTAATAAAAAAAAAAAAAATTAAAATAGGGCACTATGCCGGAGGAGGGGAGGGGGAGGGGGATGGTGCAATAATATGCAATTTTTATTTTTTCAATGTTTTTTGTCATTTGAAAATGTGGAAAATATCGTTGTTTCCACCGCGATACATTGAGCGTATTATTGGGTTGTTATCGAGTTGTGTTTGGAATAAAACCGCATAGCCTTGCTCTCCGGAATATCGCTGTCCGCGTTTAGTTTTACAATAGAGAAGACGGCGTTTTTACTCTATAGAACAGGTATCGAGCGAGTTCTATACACAGGCAGTGTAAGTATGTTTTTGCTGCATGTCGCCCGGACAATCGGTCGGGCTGAGACGGGAAATCCGGGTATCATGTCCTCTGAAGGACAAAAATTGGGTAATGGTTGCTCTGCTCTTACCTTGACTCCTGCTTGCCCGGATTCTTTTTACGGAAATTTTCTCGAGTAGGTAGGTATCTCGATGGCGGGCTGTTCGGTCGGACTTATTGAGAACGCTTTGAACGCGTTTGCCACGGTCGGTGCTCATCGTCACTTCGCTCTTATACGGCTTGAACTTTTAAATCTCGTCCGGACGTGTTAGTGATTTACTCGGATTTCGATTAAAAGAATATTATGAAATATGCACACCTAAGTAGGTAGTTCGTTTTCCGACGGCGCACGACGACCGCTATTCCGATCCGACGGGGCCAATCATTATAACACTGCAGCTGTTATCTGTTTATCGATTTTGCAGATTTTAAGACTATGTTGATATCGATATGTTATTAGTTTTTTTTTTTTTTTGTTTTTTAACGAGATTTAATGTTCACACAACAATCTGATATTATTGAAAAATCACGATTACAACGGCCGTATAAGAAATTTGATTTAAATTTTTTTTTTTTTTTAATTTTAAATTTCGAAATCATTCCGCGTATATTATCTCTGCTCTGAATCGAACGTTTGTAAAAAGGTTACAAATTGAATTCGATTTATTTCCCCCGGTGTTTTATGAATTCACGGATGTTTTATTATTATTATTTTTTTCTTATATCCATACACAACATAAATAATAATAGTCTACGACAGTGGTATTCAACCTTTCCGGGTCCACGTTTTTCCGATTTTGAAAACCAAATTAGCGGCTCCCTTATGAATAATATGAATATAATAAATAATACAAATCTGTCCTGGAATAATGAGGACGGGCGCAGCCGCCACTGTTGTAGGCGAGAAGTTGGAAAGATAGGACGTAGACGGGAATTTAATGTATACGTGTATGCGAAATTAACCATTTTAAAAAAGAGAACGATTCTGAACTCAGCTCGGTTGATAGTGTTGTCTTGTTAACAATACATATATATATATATATAACATATTATGGTTAAAAAATGTCATGTGCATTAAATATTTTCTTTAATAATATTTGTTTAATATTGTATCTATTTTCCCTACGTTTTTTTTACTGGTTTCCGATGTTTTCTTCCGGTTTTTCCCATTTATTGGGAAAATCGAAAAATGACCTGCCTACAGTACCTCCCCAGTCAGATTTTCTTTCAGAAAAAGTGCTGTCATTGTAAATCGGAGCAAAATTGCTGGTAAAAAAGTTGTTCACAGGATAAAAGAAATTGACTATTCTATTTTACTATTCACTAAACACGCGCGGCTCATTCGACACCAAACCATGACGCCCCTGGGAGCCGCGACGCACAGGTTGAAAACCACTGGTCTACGATTTTAAATTCGACGAACCCGTTCCGGAGAGTTCGGCTCATTGTTCTTTGTAAACGCGCGTACAAATCCGGCGTCTAATTATCGCACGAAACTCGTACGGGCAGGCGCGCGGCGGCGGTGACGCGCGAACACACTAAAAACCACTTTTGGCGCGCGCGGTTTCTCGTTTTTGATTTGTTTTTCGTCTTGTGCGGCGTTCCGAAACGGCTCGCGCGCACTCGAAAAACCGCCCGAGAGAATATCGTTTGTTTTCGTTTTGTGCTTTTTTTTTCTCGTCTCTCCCTACCTCCCACCGTCCACCCAGCACCTCCGGGCGGCGTTCTATTATTGTCACGGCCCTGCTGCACGGGTCTCTCGCGTCTAAACGTATTTATTGTTCGCCGGAGAGACGATTTTTCCCGCGGCCGCGTCCGCCACACGCGCATCGCTGCGCGGTACAACGTCGTCTCGTCGTGTGCGCGCGTGACGATGCAAACGGCGAGCGCATACGTAGGCACGCATTATATGGGCGGCGGCGGCGGTGACGGCGAAAACCCTTTGTGCGCTCACGGACCCTCGGCGGCGGCGCGGCGTCCTGGCCTTTTGATCCGTTCGGCCGCCGACATCAAAGGGCACGCGCAATTAAAAAGCCACCCCCTGTGCCCCGCGGGCGCGCACCGCGGAATAATCTCTTTCCACTTGTTCCGGCGACGGCGGCGACAATCCCGGGCCGCGCGACTGGGGTGTCCCGCGCGAAATCCAGCACCGACCCCCGGGCCGCCCGTTCGTATGCCGCAGTCGTAAAACATTGCGCGCGCCGCGTACTCTTTAGCCGCGCACAAGCATCCCGCGCTGCCGCGCGCTCTCGGCCGGGTTACGCGCGTGTGGGCGCACGTCGCCGACGCACGGCGGTGTAGAATTCCAAACGAAAAATAGCGATCAAAAACAATACCGCCTAAATTTGTTCGATTGGAAAACGTTAAAAAAGATCATAAATATAATTGTTATCGTGCATGTTATATGATTTTGGGGGCGGCTGAATTGAATGAAAAATCGCATTGTATAATTTGGTTGCGGGCCATAATGCAAATTGCTTTTTTCCCGAGTGTCTCAGAACGCGGTGCTTTCCGAGCGCAAAGTGCGTTTCATAAATATCAAAGAATTAAATCCGAAACTTTTATTTGGCATTTGTTGACATTTTTAAGTGCATTTTTAGGTTTTCAAGTCATTTTTTCATTTTACAGACTTCGTATAGCGTTATCGGAGAATTTGATGAAATTTATTTTTGATTTTCTTCGAAAAAAAAAAAAAGAATTCATATTTCTATTTTTTAAATGTATTAAGCGTCGATTTACCGGTTTAACCGGATAAATACGATGCCGACTGCAATAAAGAAAACGATAAGCCATTTTTTATCGAGTTGTAATGTTTAGCCGTCTTACACTATTTGCACTGTTGTGTTTAGTGAATTTATATACCCGTACTAAAATACGGTTTTTTTAAATGTTTAAAATAATTTTTAAGATCATTTTTTAACTTTTTTTTATCTAAATGTATTAAATTGTATTTTTTTAAGTTATTTTTTTTGTTCTTTAGAACATTAAAATCCGCACCCTAATTTTAATAATATAGATTTGTTTTATACAAAAAATATAATTTTATTGAATACATTTAAATTAATTACGTGTCTTGATTTCGTTTTATGGTAAATTAATTAATTGTAGGATTTTAATAATACAAATTCCTCGAAGATTTATCCAATAGTACAATTTATCCATCAAAGTTAATTTCGTTTTGAAGCCAACTACCAAACTTTTTTTAGGAAAAAACTATTGGTTGGATGGACAATTTTCCAACATTTGAATATTTGTTTGGTTTAATGTTGGCAATACTGTTTGACCGTACAAAAATGCTTGAGAATTAAATTTAAAAAAGTTGAACATTATGAAGTCAACTTATTGTCATAAGCGTGTTATAATCAAATTTCGACGAGAATCGTAAAAATATACACAATACACGTATAACCGAACTTCGCTCAGAATCGTTTTTTGTTAGCGTTGGTTTACAATGCTTTAAGTTGAAACACACACAAATAGACTGCACGCTCTTATATGGACGGAGACAGATTTAACAAACCTTCATGGACGTGTTCATTACGGGTCATATATTTTCAGAAAACTTGATTTTCAAAATGTAATATTGATGATTTTGTGAAAATTAAATTAAAATAAATTTTCAAGAATTTAATTTTAATCGTTATTTGAATGTTTATATTTTTATTATTGATTTAAATCACACATGGTACTCGAATGTTTAGGCAATTTCTATTTGTATAACTCAACTCTGTACGATATTATTTACCGGATTTGGTTTTTTTTATAATTTATTAATCAAATCAAATCAAATCAAATATGTAACAAGTACAATTACAATTGTTACAATGCATACAATTTTATAAGCGGAAAAATTTATTAGCAATTTAGTAATGATTTCTGTTTATTTGGAGCAACGGGGCCCGCAAAATACGTTCCGTCCAACGGCCCCCACATACCTAAATCCGACCCTGTCTATGTCAACTAAAATATAAATTGCCAAATGACACGGTTATTGTTTTTGGTATTTTTGTAATAAACCCTATTGTTGTGCCGACCCTCTTCACGCAACGCATAGAGAACGTAATTATTATTCATCCGCCTAATACACGGGGCGATGACGTTCTTTGAAATCACTGGCACGTTAGGGTTGAATTTAATATTTTTTTTTTTTTTAGAACGTACGTTCGAAAAACAAACTCGTTTGAGATTGAAAACGTCGCATTATTATTGTGTAATCGGTCGATATAATATTGTATATTTTTTTTTTTTTTTGTACCTACGCAATTTACCAAGTAAAAAATCCTCAATTATTTCGAATAATAAAATATAATATATTTCGATGTCATGGGGAAAAAAAATGATTACCAGAGTTCGGGGCTTAAAACGCTCAATTACAGAAAATAATCCGTTTAAATAAGTGTTTGAAAAACGTCATTATAGCCCTGAAATTAACCGTCAAATAGTAATAAAAAAGCAAAGAAAGAAAAAATAGTAAAAAGTATTTATTTTTTTTTTGTTTAAAACAATCGAAATAATAAAAATAACAAGCACTTTCAAATTAAGCGTATTTATAAACTTGTTGTAACGTGAAATGAATTTCCATAGCGCTCTGATTGATTTTAATTACACGCCAAAAAATAAGCAAATTCTTAAAGAACCGAACCCTCATAAAAATAATTAAACTCTGGAATGATAAAAATATGTGTACAGATATATTGTTAGGAATATAAAAACAAAACTGATCATTGATTAAACATACAGGTTTGGGCTTTCTTTGACTATGTTCAATCGTTTGCTCCTATACAGGCCGCTCCACGAAGATATACCCTTTGAATATATCCGGAGATGATAAAGATAATCAAATTTTGTTTTTTTCATATTACTCACAGGGAAGAGGACTACAAATATTTATACTTGAATTATTATTATTTTTGTTTTTATTAAAAAAATAACTTTCTATTTTATTATTTTCGAAAAATGTTTAGATAGTCATTCCGCAAAGATTATTTTTCTGAAAATTTTAATATACCACACATTTATATTCGATGAATAGTTTCTAAGCAACAGCCATTTTAAATTCTACTAATCCGTGTGAAAACCTATGTCATCACGTAACATGGTTAGGTCATTCCCTAGATAACATCGGTTTTAATAAATAGTATAGATAACAAACGGATTAGTAGAATTTAAAATGGCTGTTACTTAGAAACTATTCGTCCGATATAAATGTGTGATACATTAAAATTTTCAGAAAAATAATCTTTGCGGAATGACTATCTTTAAATTTTTCGAAAATAATGAAACAAAAAAATATTTTTTTTGATTTTTATAATAAACATATATACACACATATATATTATATTTATATTAAAATAAAATTATTTGTAGTCCTCTTCTCCGTGAGTATTATAAAAAAAAAAAAAACAGAATTTGATTATCTTTATTATCTCCAGAGATATTCAAGAGGTATATTTTCGTGGTACAGCTTGTATACTCCTTGTAACTTAAATTGATGTATAGTTTTGATTTTCAAACATAGGACTTCCCCCCACCTGTTTTGAATACAAATTTGCATAAATACATATTTTTGGCCCTAAGAAAGAATCTATTAGGTAGATTGTTTGTCCTTTTTTTTAAAATTTTCTTATTTAATTTTTCCAAACATTTTCTACAATCAATTGTATACCTAATCAAATGTTTCCTAATTTTCCGTCATTTGTTCATAATTCTATAATTTATCATTTTTTTCTAATTTTTTCGTCATTTGTACATTTTTTTTTTATGAAACTGACGTAAACCGTTCTTTCTTTGAACCTAAGATAATTGTGATACTATTTTGTCATTTTTTTTTTTTTGGATGTGTTCAAAAGAAAAAAAAAATGATTTAAAACGTTAATGATTCAAGTCGAACACTTGCGTTACTATAATAGTATAATATACTTTATTATAAAAATCAATTTATCATCTGAGAAAATGTATATTTTCTTATTTCTATAGATTAGTTTAATCTAAACAACTCTACGTACCTATGTCGCGGATTTACTACAATATATAGAAATGTTATAACACTTAGAACTGCGCGATATTATATAGTGTATAAAGATTAATTAATAAATGAAAAAAAAAAAAAAAAAATTATAATGATAAACATTCAACCAACTATAGATTAAAAATATAAATATTAAGACTGAATTAAAGTATCGTCATTACCGGATTGTTGTTTTAACAGTTGGGGCGCTATTTTTCTTTTGGTAATGAACGTTCGAAGCATCGACTGTACCTTTACGATTTTCTTCACTTGATTCTCGTAAAGCCTGCAATTAAATAAATAATTGTGTTATCATTTTTTTTTTTTTTTTTTTTTGGAACGCATCTTGCTTTGGTTTCACATAATATTCTCTGGTACATACCTCGATAGATATTCTTCGTTGTAATATCGGAGGAATACTTTGCCCTTTCCGATCAGCCAGCCTTCCATCTTCAAACGAATAAGCAACAGACGACAGTTCTCCTTGGTCACTTCGACGTTTTCGTAAAAATCGAAAGCCAAAAATTTATACCTACGGTGTTGAAGTAATTTACATTAGCTATACCGTATAATATAATATTATAAATCCAAATTATGTATATATTGTTTTATCACAGGCGAAATTAAATTTATATAAATGATTCTTGATGGGCGACGAAACTAATAAAGTGAATACGAATTTATTACGTATGTACTAAAGTACTCGGCAGTTTGTATTGTTTATTGGTGTTCTCATATAGAGTATATTTTGCTTGAGTATACATGCCTAATATTATGTTAATATGAACGTGTACTCTTAGGCGTGAATTCAGTGTTATTCGGTATTATTTATCAGGATTTTAACTGTCGAGATTTTGACTTTGTCGTGATTTTAACTGTCAGAATTATGATGTCGACCGACTATACAATATCCGCGTATGGTGTATGCAGTTATTTTGAAGTATTTAAGTAAATGTATTTAATTAATTTTATAGTATTTATAAAAAAAATTGAATATTTTTCAATTAAGTATTTTGAATACTGTCTCGGTCGTATCAAAAACTACCCCAAAACATAAAAACCTAGTTTTCTCGGAGAACTTTAACGGACATTTATCAAAATTTTGCAGTATACAATTTTTTTAATGACTTTTGTTTCGTAAAAACATAGTAATTTTTGTTATATTTCTGAACATCCAAGCACTTGCGAACCACCACCACACCTTTTACACCTTTTTTTTCATTTTTGTGAATCACACGATTAAAATATACTTCCTTTGCGTCGCCACTGCATCAAGCCTTTACGCGGCGTGTACAACAATGTATAGAACGGCCAACCTTAGCTAAACAGTACTAAATATCGTGGTCCCAAGGAATGAAAATCGTGAGTAGGTAATCGGTGTTAGAACGATTGGCGACGCACAATGACGTAATAGTCCCTCGACCGTTCGGTTAGTAAAGTCGATTAGGTACCGAAGGTTTTGGGGTTCGTTTAATACTCACTGCAACCGTATGCGTCGACAAAGGAAAAACTTTTTGTGTATACGACACAACACAAAAGTGGATGATATTAGGCCCACGGGCCTCGGACTTCACTTCGTATCACCGGTTAGCAATCTAATTTGTTTTATTTATCTGTGTGCGTACCTCTGTATGAACTCGTGAAAGGAAATCCGGCACGAATAACCGTTTTGCCTGGACGACACTGTTTCCACGACGGCCAGCGCCTTCAGCTGCTGTCTTACGACGTCCGGTTGGAAGTCCAGTGGCTCGTCGGACAGGGCGGCCCGCAAACACCGGACGAAGTGGACGCCGTTCTTTTGATCGGCCGTGTCTGCCAGCGAGCGAAGTATTTCCATGCTGCTGGATCGGTACACCGCGGACGCGGTACGCATGCGTCGCGTTTGCGAGTACTCACCGCGCGATTCCGTATTGTACTTCTAAAAAAAAATAAAATAAACGACTGTGAAAATGTTATTGTTTCACAGTTTATCCGTCAAAATCTGGCAATATATTACGTTATGTCGTATAATATCGATTGCTAATAATTATAAAGCTCAGATTTCAATGCATTTGCATATTTTTTTGTTCAGAATGTCCTACACGATGCTTTCCAAACTACGAATATATTTCAAGTATTCCATGTTATTGTAACTAAACAAATTTATTGATGTGCTTTTCGAGGTTTTTAACGCATTTTAAAACATTTTTGACCTATTTCTCGAATTAGGAAAAAACTGACTTCATTCATTGAAATGTAAACACAGTACCACGAAATATAAATCATTTTTATATCGAATAATATAACATCAGGTAATCTGGTTTTAAATTAAACAAGGCAACTTGTATCGGAGTATTTTCTTATCGAGCGATAATATTATATCGGTGGTTTGTGTGGCCGATTGTCGGACGCTTGTAGTCCGTGTAATTTATTGAAGGGACATTTTTTTTTGATATTTTTAGGGTATTTAAACCCAAGTCCTACTAATATATAATAATAATATTGGGGCTCGGGAGTCGCTGTAGCACTGATAAATAGTAACTGGAACTTTCAAATTGTTTATACTACCTATCGACAGTTTTGACATGAAATATCGAATATTAATTTCTCCACCAATCATTGACATTAACAGTGGTTTCTGGTAGTGAATTTTATGTTGTTGGTGCATTGGAGAGATACGTTTTTTATTTCTTTTGTAGTATTCAGAGTAATTGCGAAAAACCATAAAATTTAGATACCGGATTATTGAGAAAAATTCAAGCACCTCAATGCACCGAGAAATGCTAAAAAAAATTTATTTTAACTTTTTGATTGAAGCAAGTTTTCTGGTAAAAAAATTGTTTACAGATGTAAATTTAAAAAAAAAAAAAACACATCATAGTAAAACCAATACATTCATCAGTTCACTCGGAATCTACTGTGTAATACAATTATTTGTAACTAATAATTAGTTAGGTATTTTATTATTTAATTGTGTAAATTTTAATTATAATGTATAGATTTTATGTACCACACAAAATAACGTCTGAGTAACAAAAAAAAAAAAAAAAAATGAATTACGTTTTATGTGATAACAAAATTATATTGATAAGATGATAACCCAAAACTTACAGAATATTTCGTGGTGAAACTAGCTCTACAAATTTCACAGAACTTAATCAGTTCAACAACCTAATGATTCGATAACTTTGTGTTTGACAACATTTATTTATTTTACAAATGGGTTTTTAATTTTACAGAATTATTGTCAGTTTTCGATTCTGTAGAGTTACACGTGACCCGAAAAAGATTGGTATTTTAAATTATTACTATTGATACATTTAACGTATATTATTAAAATATCGTGTTTTATTATTGGAAACGTACTCTGATCGGCGTTTTTTCGGCTACTAACGCGGCTCCCCATCGATTGATTTTGCTGTTTTGAGTTTTTATCGTCAGTGCCTTTTCTCTGCATACGGTTAGATTCCCGGATTTCGTCAACCGGTTAATGAACAGGTCCTTGATCGCATTATCTTTGGACATGCGCATTGTTTCGACTACTTCCGGAGCCAAAAAGTCACGGTTCTTATCGAGCACGTCTTTCAACTGATACGAAACGGTACCGCTATAATGAGCCACGCTGAAACTCTTTGAACTGGGCACGTGAATGTATGGCTCTTTGGGGTTCTTCTCTAGTGCATCTAATACATACATATAAACGCAACGGGGGTTTTTTATTTAAAAAATATTATTAATACATCTCATCCACTATTTGTTACTGTAGTATAATATGTAATAGTTGTAATCATATTTTTCTTCTACTTAGGTAAGGTTAAGTTTAATAGGTTTTAGTTATCTATTATAATGGGTATATAGATATAACTCCAAATATCCGACGAGTAACTTTCGAGTATAATACTCGTACACCAAGGTTCAAACGTGTTGTTTCTGCACTTTTAATAGAAAGTTAAGTTAAATACGAATAAAATGGAATGAATTTGAATCGATTGGTTCTCCTACAGTTACTATATTAATACGAATTAAACAAACTTTAGGAAGTAACAAAAAATAATAATTTTCCCTTTAGTTCTTAAAATATTGAATATAGGTCCAACATACTGTTATACTGTATTTAATTTAATGTGTATAGATATATTACTTGTGATGTAATGATAGCTTTCTTCGTAGTTTTTGGTGGCGTCGTCAAATATATAAAAAAGTCCGTCGGGGTTATTCATTAGTACGTCTATAATCGGCTTGTTGTTCCGGTACTGCATGCCATGATAAGTTATTCCCTCTTCCTCCAAATCTTGCTGTACACGGGTTTATAAATATTTATCAATAAGCATATTTTTTTCGAAACAGTATATTTAATAAAAATGATAAAAAATATGTCACAAATAATCTATTTCGTAATTATTTCATCCATTTGAATCGTGGAAAAATAACTATAAATACTTGTTTTTGCGAGATATAACGTGGAAAGTCAATCGAAGTAAAAACAACGTGAAAACGCATATTCGTGTATATAAAAGAGCATGGAGGGTACGATTTAATCGTAAATTTATTGAATATTGCCCGAGCACGTTATGTTATGTTTTTGTTTTTTTTATACTATAATCCGTGTAGTATTATAGAAATACCCGTATTCCCGTAGGCTCAACGGTTTCATGCATTAAGTCACCGGAAAACAGTAGGATTCCGTAACGACTATATTGTATAAATACTGTACGCTCCTTATAGGCATATATACTCACCATTTCCCACGCAAACATCCGTTGGTTATAGTGATATTGGAACTGTTCGTTCAAACAATTAATGAACAACTGGTCCAAATTATTCTGATGGAAACACTCGAAACCGAACGCGTCCATTAAATACACCACGTGGGTGTCTCCGCTGTGAAAAGTTCAATTTTGCGTAATAGAAATATCCGTTTATTAAGAAAAATAATAATTATTTTTTTTGTTTTTCGGAATCTAGCAGTTGTTATTAGTTTTTCACTTACAATATGGCTCTGGTGAAAGACAATTTGAAGTTGATCACATTCACTATCCAATCGAACAGACGGGAATATAAGGTCTGGGCGAACACACGGATGCACCCGTAGGCTCCCGAAACCGTATGCTTGCGGCGGACCGCGACTCCGTTGACCACCACGCAATAATTCAACAACGACCAGGTGAGCTTTTTGGGTTCGACTTCTAATAACTCGGCGACTGAAAATAAGAGCTTATATTATTGATGCGTGTGCCAATCATGTGTTTGTGATGTCGGGAAAATAGTATAATGGAGTTATTTAATTTATATCTGTACGTAGCGATAAATTCATCGCTTAAGAAACATTATTTTGAGCGCAGTTCAGTCGAACGTGTTTTAAAATGTTGTGTGTTTAGGAAATGCTTAAAAATTTATTATGAGGTTCGTCGTGGTCAAAAAAAAAGTTGAGCGTAGGGTTTTTAATTTCAAATTTTTACATTTTTACGTTCAAGTACAAACGTAGTGAAAATCACGGCTTTCAAAACATCTAAAACCGTACTTTGCTCAGATTCGTATTTCGTTAAGCAATGATTTATCGTTCAGTACAAATATAAATTAACTAACTCGATGTACATAGTTCTTTCACCTTTTTATCTTCCTACTTTTTTTTTTTGGTATCGGAAAACGAGGTAACGGGACATCCAGATTCGGTGGGGACTTTTTGATCTGGTTAAAAAAACAGTTTTTCAAAACGGGTCAAAATTTTACCTTATTTGTACACGATTTAAAAAGAAAATCGTGTCCCCAGGGCGTTTCGAATTGTGACTTTAATGATATTATTTTCCTTTGCAAAACTCGTAGGCGTCTATCATTTGCGGCCTAGGGCGTTTTTCGATAGCTACAGAGAAAGAGTCGACGAGCACAAATTATACAATTTGTGCGCGTCGATATCTATCGCTGTAATAATATAATAATACTGATAGCGCTCGTTTATATATCTTTGTTTGTAACTCATCAGTATTCATATATTATGTTAATAATAATATGAAAAAACATACTTTTTTTTTTTTAGTTCGTTCGTTTGTAACAATATCGAACATTCAAGCGGTAGATACGTGGGCGTTAAAATAATTAATAATATACATTTTCATTCAATACAAATTGACGCGTTTTCAGTCGAGCTCGGTTACGGAATATTAAACTGCATTTGAACATGTGAGGGGTTTTTTTTTACATTATTTATAGCTAACAATATACCATGCCGATTTTCCTATATGTGTACTACGGTCAGGACGTTCTAAACATATATCACTTCATTTGTAACTTTAGGGTGTTCGTGTCGAATTGGATTAGATCGGATCTTAATAATTTAGATCCGATCAAATTCGTGTGAACCGTACAATCATTTTATTATTTAGTTAATTTAGATTATAGGAATTTATTAGTTTTCATTGTATGTTTTTTTTTTCTGTATGTTAACAATTTTTCGAGGTACCAGAAAGTTTGCTCCAATCGAAAAACGATAAAAAATCTTTTTTGTTGCACTTTGATCTAGTCAGTGAGTAGGAAAGTCATTTGTTGATTTTCAATGCAGTTTTTTTAATAATTTAACAAAATTGGAAAAAAAAAACATGGAAAGAACGAGAAAGTTACGCGCATTTGCGGTTTCATTATTTTCGGTTTTGTTTATTTGTTTTAACAGTTAAAATTATTTTAGAGAGCTCACATTTTCACTGAATATTTTTACTTTGCTGATAAATTCATATTATTCTCAGTCCGGACTAACTTGTAACTTATTTGAGTCGGGTCAGGCCGGTTTTTAAAATGTTTGTATCGTATTGGATTGGGACAGACTAACTTTGAATTTCTATCGAGTCTGATCGGATCTACTTTTGTCGGCTCGTGTAAGGCTCTATTTGATATCTATTACTAAGTCTTATTGAGTAATGCAGATAAAAATTAGCTATTAGTTTTATTATGATGTGTTTTTTCTCTCTCGGAAAAGACTTTTATGGTTAATGAAATTGCTTCGAATTTATTTTTCAAATAGCCTACCATCGCACAAAAAGCGTTTCGAAATTGTCTATACTTTTTCTAAAAAAAATTCGAGAAGATAGTTTTGCTTTTTTTCACTTTTGGTTTACTTTGGCTACACAGGAAAAAACCACGACAATAAATTACTATAATCTATAACCAATTTATACCGAACTCCGCTCAAAATCGATTTTTATCACTATGATTTATCGTTTCTTTTATTGTATATACAAAAATACATAATATGTTATGGTTAATGTTGAAAGTTGGATAGTTTGCAATTTTCATTCGGTAGAATGAATTCTATGCTGTTAGTTTTAAATGTTTTAATGATATAAAGTGAATGGGCCTATTATCAAACTTAATGGAATTAACATTTTCTGTGTTTGTGTTATGATGGTTCTTTTCTATACCTATTTTAATTTATAAGAGAGATACGAATATACAAAATATTAGTTTAAAAATCATCGTATCTCGTTTAAAAATTAAAAATTACTCTATATTTTTTATATCCTTCCAAAGTGCAAAGTATGTCCGGTTTTTAAAACTTAATCGTCTTTTGTTATTATACATGTAAGGTTTATCTTCAACATGCGATTATTATGCGTACATACTTTTTGTAATGAGTTCGTTGTCGTCAATTTTTGTCTCGCTGTCTTCCTCGGCGGAAACCGTAAGCTCACCGGCGTTAAGTATAGCCGCCAATATGCGCCATATTGTATTCAGCTGACTGTCCGTAAACTCCAACGTATCTTTCATACAGGCCAACAGTTTGTGGAAGTTCCTCACGTTCGAACCGGATTGTTTTCGTTCGTCCATATCGTCTCCTACTAAATACCGGTACCGGTGATCTTCGATCAAGTGATATTGACTCAATACTTTGTCCGAGCTGGCGGCCTCAACGAAATCGTAGAATACGTGGAAATTCTTTTGACCACCGACTCTTTTTTAAAAAAAAAAAGTAGTTAGTACCTATTTCATCATATTAACCGCCGGAAAACACATCGCATTATATTCAATCGCTCACCTTGAGTTCGTTACCCTCCATTTTTCTAACTGGTAGATGAAAAATAAAGCACCGCTAATCTTTCCGGTGGACGAATACGTGATTTGTGTCTGATTTACGTGTCGAGTGGAGTTCATATGATATTTGGTAGCCGCATTACCAAAAGCTTGGATCACGTCTATAGCACATTTTATTTTCAAACCGATGTTGTTCACTTTCGTTTGGTTTTGCTAATCGTAAACAGAAAATTATTATTTCTCATATATTTATAAAGGCCCGTAGCCATGGGGGACAATAAGGGGTATTACCTCCTTAGACCAATTATTTGCACCTCCTAGAATTTATATCGGAGGATGGAAATTTTCGAATTAATCGTTTTATTGGAACATATATTACAAGATTAAAGAGTCATAATATTGTTTTTTTCTAATGCCTCTCACCTCCTAAAGAATTATTGATCTGGCTACGGCCTGTGTATATATGATAATAATATACTCGTATTATATACAAGAGCTCGTGATTTAAATTAATTAAGTCGTATATGTAACACGTTCACTGAGCATAAAACATTGGACAAATATTGGAAATAAATTAAAATTAAACAAAAGTCACTGACTTCTCCCAAAAACAACAGGTGTTCGATTAACTTTCCGTAGTTGAACGATTTGCCAGACTTAGTTTCCCCGGCCAACAGTATGTGTTGTGGTTGTTCGTGATGAAGCATATCTTGGTAGGCCGCGTCGGCCACACTAAATATATGGGGCGCGTTGTCGGATCGGCATTTAAACTGATAACGGTAATGATACTGAAAAGAAAAATAACCTACATTAATGTGTGGTGTTACGTGTGTTCAGCCGAACAGCAATGTTTGACCGTTTAATATGAAGATCATTTACAAGTATTTTTTTTTGTAAGCATTTTAAAACTGAATATTGATTAAAATTATACAAATTATGAGATTTCAAAATATGTATACTCGAACTTCTCTCAGAATTGTTTTTCGTGAGTAAGGGTTTATCGTTGCATTCAGATATGAATTGAACAACTTTATGTATCCTACCTTTTTTTTTTTTATAATTAATTTTATTATAATATATTTATCAAGTATACATTTATAAAAAAAGAGCTGATACTGTTGAAGGGATGTGTCTCTGGGTTAAGTGGGAAGTTTGAAAGGTAGGTAATAATAACATAAAGTTATTTAAATTATATTTCTCAGCGAAGTTTAGTTTACCGGAACTATACGTTTTTAAACGAGTTGGTCGATTGTAAAACACAATTTTCCGTTTCATCATTTACCCGCTCCCTCCCCACCACCGAGCACGTTCCTGCAATTATATATTCCGTAAAAAAACCAAAAAATTTTAACTGCAATCGATATTATCATTAGACTGCAACCAAACGAATCAGCAATATAATTTTTGACCATTTATAATTTATAAACATTTTATTAATTGGTTTAATTCGAAACTCTTAGCTAGTAATACGTAGGTACTATACGTACAGGTACGACGTAAAAAACGGTATAACAATATCCATAAACGCTTTCAACACACGACGCGAAATTACTTTTTTCTCGTAGATCGGTTCGTTCTGGTTCGGATTCACGTACAATAATACGTCACCGACAAACGTATAACTCAGGCCGTCTAAATGGCGATTTTGTAATTCACTGAGAACGGTGTCTTCGGATACTTCTTTCAGAGCAGCTAAGTCTTCGAGGTGCATTGGCTTGGCTGCTTCTTTTTGATTCATCTGCAACATAAATTATGTATAGATATTATAATTATTATTCATATGACATGCATTACTCGCAGCCGTGTCGTTGCAGAAACACATAGACAATTTACTTTCGTACCGCACGCGCGCAATAACAAATTTGTAATAAATTTAAAAAACAATGGACATCGGAAGTTTCGCGGCGGACTTGCGGTTTTTTTTTAGCGCGTATTAAATGATTTCGGCTTCCTCTATTCGTCAGATAAAACCGCAAATATTTCCAATTCCTAACGAGAGTTATTATTTTTTGTTAATATTTTTTAAAGACGTCTAAATACAATGCGTAAACACGTCAAGTCAATAGTTTGACTCTCGGTTTATTTTATTCAAATAAATGTTTTATAATTAGTTTCGTATTATATAAATGAACCGGGAAAAATATATTAATTTTTGGTTTTCCATTCTGCAATAGATGTATGTTGTACCCCTAATGTATAATATAATAATATATATTTTATTATTTATGGATTTTACAGTGGTAAAACAATAATGTATATTGGATGATACAACTATTCGAATATTTATATATATATATATATATATATATATATATAATACTATAACAATTTAAAACAAAATTGCAAATTCAGCAATAATATTTTACTCGTATATATGTCATAATACTACACCTTGTTTAGTAAATTTAGTAAAATTTTAAGTAGAACAATAAACCCCAAAAATATAATAAAAATATGTTAGTTAAATATTGTTTAAAAAAAAAAGTCAAATACCTCAGTGTACCCCACTCTATTGTACTCATTTTTAACCCATTATTTTGGGTTACAATGAGCCAATGGTATCTATGTATAATTAGACGACCTGAAATAAAATTTATTTTGTTATTTTGAATTGCGCACGTGGCACGAACAAGTTACAAGCTTTTATTTTAAGTTCTTTATTTATTTTTTTTCATTTCAAATGAACTACATTTAAAAACTGTGTTAATAATTAAAACAATAATTCAATAAAAACAATAATAACCGACGAATATCCCGTGTTTGTTTATTTTTAGTTTTCATTGTGAAAATCAAGCAAATTATGCTATATGAAACTTTCGTAATCAGAACAATTTTAATTAATGAATCAATTAAATTATCGAACGATCATGGTATCAAACAGTTTATTAAAATGTCCCCTTATGTATCAGTGAGCATCGTTAGATATCATCTGGCTGTTATCAGCTATTTATACCGTCTCAATGTCAAAGAGGTATTTACATTTTTAGCACCCTTTCGTATTATAACAAATTAGCTAACAAAACGATAGGATTTCGATCATTTTGTACACTTTGGACTTCAAAATACATAATTGTAGGCCTTGCTGAGCGAGTGTAAACTGTGTTATGGGGTTCAGATTTAAAAAAAAAAAAGACTGTGATTTTATCATGTCTTAAAAAATTATGAAACCCATTTGAAATGTGGTACGAGGGGACAAGACAATGGACCCTTAGACCCCCTCTCCTAAACACGCTCCTGCTTACTGGTACCCCACTGTCCTACATATGCATTATTGTAGGTATTAATGTTTTAAAAATCAATCTGTACATTTTGATGTTTGAATATTGCTGGTTTTAATATTCGTAAAAGCGGTAAACATTTCGATTTTACATCGACTCCCCTCTGTCCCGGAAAAAAACAATCAAACCATGTGACCAAATTAAAAACGAATATTTCATAGCACAATAAAAAATTATTGTGCGATCAAAATACATTATATTAATTACACCTTTCCTCGTATAACCATTAGTTAGATATATCGGAAACAATACGTCGCGTTCGTTAAATAATTAATAACGGATGAACAATCACTAAACGCGACGATAAAAAGGTATTGTTCATTAGTTATCGATAATTTTTTTATACAGGTAATAGTTTTTGTTTTCCCCCGAAAGATATTATAGGTATGTTTTAAATTTTTTTTTTTTTTTTAAAATATTATTATTTAATTAAAATAATAACACGCGTTATTGTAACATAATAATATTTTTTTTTATAAACGGTTTACAATAAAAACGTTAGATTTTTAAATTTTACCTGTTTTCATAAACGGTTATTATTCAAACGACATTATCAGTTTATAGATTTTCGTTTGAATAAACAGTTCGAAAACATTCGAAATTATTTATTTAGATATAGAACAAAACGAAATATTCAAGTTCCGTACACTGCAGCGCAAAATACTTTATAATAACATTTTTTTACCAATAAGAACATCTGACTAAATAATTAATTTTTGAACGCATGCGCTTATTTTATACTTGCCTTTAAATATCCATTTTTTATGATCCTGTTTTCTGGTTTTCGGATAGACGTCACGTCGTCGAAAATAGACTCCATCACGGTTTTGATTTCAGCTTGCATCTAAAATACATTTTACGTTTTTGTTTCTGTTTTTTTTTTTTTTTTATTGTAAACGTTTTGTGAATATACGTAATCGTCTCGTTTAAGAGGGTAACACATAATATAATTATGTTATTTAAAGTATTTATTTAGCGTTTATATTGAAATAATTAGAGTTTAAACACAAACAACACAATTTATTAAAGAGGAGAATATTATCGAGGGATGTAGGATGTACGTATTTTTATTTTTTTTTAAAACAATTTAAACACCGATAAGAAAAGGGACCCATATCTAGTTTTTACTTTTTTTACAGTAGAAATAATAAAAAAAAAAAAAAAACAGTTATTGGGTTTTAAATTATTACATAATATTATATTATATTATAAATAATAATTACTCTAATTTTAACCTAAACGCCACAATTAAGTAACGTGGTTTTTCTATATTATCCGTTAGTTAGACTATACTCAGACATGTAAACTGAAGCGTCCTCTTAAGTATAATTGAACAAACGATTAATTGGTTTCAAAACATCTCCCGTTAAAAAACGAAAATAATAAAATGTATAAATGAGTGTGTCAAAAGTCTTTCATTTAATTGGTATAATAAGTATCGAATTTGCAGTCCAATGTTTTGTTGCGATATTTGTTTAGAACATTTTTTTTTTTCATATTAATATGCATGATAATACCGAATACCAATATATGTTATATATAGTATAACGTATATTTTATAAACTTACGTCATCTGGAACTTGAGTTATAAACGGATGTTCTAAGAGTTCTTCCATGTACGGACGGTGATCAGGATTTTTTTCCAGACACCTGAAAATTTATTTGAATTTTATTTTATTTTTTGAACGCGAAATTTCAATATCAGTAAAGTATTTTCTAATTTCGTTATTCAATTATACGCAAACTTGAATATACACATAGAAACCGTTCACATTTTCAGAGGAGTGAATCAACCCTCCTCGACTGTGATTATGTGTATAAGCGTAGTGTCTCTATTCTCTAATAAATTGTTTTATTCGTCCCATAGCGGATACCACATTATTATTTCTTTAGCGGTGTCTTATTATGGCGGTGCCGTCAAAATATTTATATTCACTTTACCTTGGGGGATGAGAAAAATAAAAAGAGCTATATACAAGTGACTAGCTTATTTTGTTCTGTTTTGATGAGTATGTTTTACTATTAAACAAAATTATAAAAGATAATTTTTGTGTTAGTTTTTTTTTTTTTTTTTGAAATAACTTTATTATGGTAAAGGTATTAAAACTAAGATTTATTATAGTTTGTGTTGATTATAGTACTATATCAAATGTATTCTCATATCCTTAAAAATGGGGGGGAGAGAGGAGGAATTGAGATGTATGTAAAATATGTATTGTATGGAAAATATTTTCGTTCGGGCTTGTCAAGAACCACTTCCGATAGAAACGCGTGTATGATGAAAAAGAGAATGTTGTATACAATAATGGCCAATCGTAAAAATTATTTAATTTTCTGTTTATACAAAAAAAAATGATAACATATTGATTTCTTATCCTAATCCCAATCTTAACGTTGAATTATTGTACTTATTAAACGGAATGCATGTTTTGTCGAAAATGATAATAAGTTTACGATACACTTAATGAGACGATACAGAAGATAAATTATACGAGTTGATGTTGACGCGTAGTTAAAAAAAAAAATTCTGTTTTATAAAAAAATTATTTACTGTTCGGAAAAATTAAAAACTTGTTTGATTAACGGAAAATTGGTACGGTTTATTGGGTTTTAAATAAAAGAAATGAAATAGGTGAAATATTGGTACTATAAAATATTTTATTTTCAGTGGTTCAAAACATATGTCCGAAATTAAATTAAAAATAAATTCACAATATACATAAAATATTTTCAATTGTTCAACACTTGAATTTATAGTTTATATACTAAACTAAAATTAATGATTTTACCTTAAATAATGCAATATCCTGCATAAATTATTACTCATTTAAAACTTACTGGTTTAATTAAAGCCGTAATTTTTCCCGGAAATTTCCATCATCCAATAGTATTTTTTCTTTTTCTTAAAATTACATACGAATATTCGTTGTACAACAGTGATTCATTTCCTTTATTAGTTTTAAAACTTTCCATTAAAATTTAAGAAACCCCGATTTTTAACGGCCGCACTAATTTTCCTTTCCGAAAATCACTTATTTTAAAACGGTCGAACAGGCGTTACAATTTTGCATTCGTGTTAAAGAAAATCATATTTTATTATTATATTAACAAAACAAGAGGTCGCGGTCCGAAATGTAGGATGAGAGACAGATTGCTTTTATATAGAGCTCTCACTTCAGAAAGGTGTTTATCATTTTACTATCATTATTTTTGTGTACCTGTTTATCGTTTAACTAACGGAATTTTAGTCGACCGATTGAAAATTGTTTATAGTTTCTTCACAATTTCGTATTATATTACACATGAGTGTATCGTTTGTCATGTGTCTTCGAAAGACCATCTAAACTATGTATCTTAGAAATCATTTCATTTGTAAATATTATTACGGTTACTAATATTACAAACTCAATTAAAAATAAATACAATGGTAATATTGTTTTTTTTTTATTTAGATTTCCGAAAAATGACGTGAAAAGACTGAAACGGTGTCATGCTTTGGGCTTATTAAATGCTACAATTAACCAATCGGTTTATAGAAATCATTTTGGTCCGGATTGCTCTAATTATTTCAGTTACAATAAAAGAATACTAAAACCATTTGCTTCGACTAAATGCCAAGAACTTATTGGCAATATCTCTTTTAACCTCAAATTAACAAAATATTTTCATTCCCGTATCATAAAATCTTACGGCTTATTCATTCTAATATTATTATTTATGATCTCGCGTAACAAAATCCGAATCTTTCGTCTTTTGACTCGTATTCGAGACGAAGAGCATAGCCATTTATTAACCTCTTGTTGACGTGTTACAATATTGGCTGTCAATACGTCAAGGATATTGAATATTAAAATCACGTATCTTTATTTTACATTCGATTATTGTTTAGACATTTTTTTTTTTTTTAATTTCAGTATTCCTCTTGACTATAATTATAATATCGTAATAGTACCCACGACATATTTTGTGCTGTAACTAATTTTAAACTATAACGTATGTTTACCACCTATGAAATCATTTAACTAATACTTGTACAGATATTTTAATTTGTGTTTCAATATCACTTATGTCGATCCGTTCGATCGATAATATTTTAACCTTTACGGCCGTGCACTAATAATATAATATTAGGTCGTAGGTATTATAGGTACCGACTTATCGATCGCATTTTTCGAAATGCTTTCATGTTATTATATTGTACTTCATTACTTCATAACATGACGCTGACACGCGGTATTAACCACAACATGCGATAGATACCTCCCCTTACTCCACCCACACATTAACTCGACTCGCTTACTCGGCGATGAAGTCATTAAACAACTGCGACCAGTTTGATGGTTTGGACAGTCCCGGGGGCGGATTTCTAACGATTTGGAACAACGCTCTGGTCGGATGGATATCGAGATACGGCGGTTTACCGTCGCCCAACTCGATGGCAGCGATTCCTGAAAACAAAAACGAAAACGTATACAAATACTCGTACTCGTATTAACCATGATCTGATTCATCGTTCAGTCGGTTTTATCCCGACATTTTTTATGATATACCAATTACAGCCAATTTTTATATTGTATTTTTTTAAATATCTTGTAAAGAGCAAAACACACGCATTCTCATGTATTGCCGCGAGTCGTAATTATATGTATAATAGAGTATCGCAATGAGCTCACCGACCGACCAAACATCGATTTTCTTATCGTAGTATGACTGTTCGCCAGAACCTTCTTTGTATCCCGTCAAAACTACTTCCGGCGCCATCCACGCCGGTGAACCGATTCCCGTGTTGGTCTTGTACTCCGGGCTTTCTAACTTCCTAAATATATATATATATATATATAATAACTGTAATATTATAGAGTATAATTACAAAAGTTGCACAAGGAACAATATGTTGATTGACGCAGAAGAATTACATGGGGTGGTAACGCATGGTGGAATATTGAAATATATGGTTTTAAATGGAAACTCAATGACAAAATACCATTGGGTAAGCCAAAACTAAACTATAACATTATAATCGACACAACACAGTGTATACAGTGCAACAGTCTTTTTTTTCTAGGAAAATTCGACAAAACGTCAAGTTGTCGTCATCAATTCAGAGGCAACAATTGTCCATCTCTTCAAACAACAAACCAACAGCACAAAATATCTACCAGTATTTATTATTATATTATATAGGTGGTATTGGGCATTACAATACGTTGACATCGAGAACGAATCGAAAGGGCGGCGCGTCCATATTGGATTTAAATGACGCGTAACGTGATTTACTCACGTTTTACGACGTCCCCATACGTACTATCGTATAATATAGAATCTATGACAAATACTATATATTATACAGGTTGTAAAACACAGCTAATACTTTCCGCTAGATAGGTATGAAACAAATATGAAAACTATATTGGAAAACTCAAAGTGTTGTCCAAATATTTGGAAATATTCAGTTATAATTAACTGCAGTTACCTGGATAAACCAAAATCCACCAACTTCACTTCGCCATTTTTTGTTAACAGTAAGTTCGAACAGCGGATGTTTCGGTGAATCACGTTATTTTCGTGTAAAAAACACAACGCCTGTAAGATTTAAAAAAAAAAAAAAAACAAACATGACTATTTTTAATAACATATAATATAATATATAGAAAGCGTTCAAAATCCCGACAGTGTACCCCTGATTACGGCACTGCGTTGTACATTATTAGCTATTATCTGAAATCGTTATAAATCATATTTTTTTTTATTATAAACTGTTAACAAGTTTTCATACCTTAACTAGTTCTCTGAGTATGTATCCGACGTGTTCTTCTTTCATTCTTTTGTTTTGTAACAAAAGCCCATTAACCAAGTCAACAACAGTTCCTCCTTCGCAAATCTGTTAATATTATAAAATAGACGGTAATGACGCCAAATCTGTTAAGTGACGTCGTGAAGACGACGACGCATCAAATAATTATGAAAACGCTATCGCACGATTTGCACGAGAAAACTTGCTTAAATTAAAAAGTTCATAGAAGGTTTCTCGGCAAATTTAGGATCTAGTTGGTGCCTTTAAGAAAATAATGATGATACAAAAGAAAAAAAAAACGTCGGAAGAGCGGAAACATGTACGAACGTCGATTTTTATCAAAATATATCGCAGTTATTTATACTTGTTACAAATAATTTAGTTATTTTTCAATTTATAATGATACAAAATGTATTGCTAGTTTTTTGTTTATTGTTTGAACACTCAAATGTTTGATTCAAAGTTCGTTTTTTGTTTGAATAAAAAATGTCTGCATCTAGTAATAAAAATATTAAATCGATACACAGTATTTCAATTGGATTTTTATATCTCACGTATATCTACACGCTTTTGCGTATTCACGAGGAATCAACATTCGAAGCTATAATACTGTGTACTTAAAAAAAAATCCGTGTTCACTTATAGTGTAATTTTATTATTCCCATTAACAAGTACATTCACGTATTCAAATTATTTTTCACGTAATACGTGAATAACACTGAAACTCACGTAAACACGAATAGTAAATTCACGTGTATCAAGTATACGCGAGTAAAAATGTTTTATTCACATACGTACTCCGTACTCATGTACGTATTAAATCGCGTTTTTAATCGAAATCTCTAATTTTAATACGTGAATCTGTTAGACCAGCATTCCCCAAATTTTTCCTCCGTTGGACCTCTTATAGATAGTAAAAAATCGATCCCCTTCCCTCCTTCTTTATTCATCAGTATTTTTATTTTTATTTATACTATTGGTATAGTATTTTCAATTTAGGTTCGCGGACCCCCTCTGGTATACACGCGGACCCCCAGGGATCCGCGGATCACAGTTCGGGAAACTCTGGTTTAAACCCCAACTATCATTACGATGAGATACGACAAAATATAGACGTAACGGCGAAAACAACATAATAACTGTCTCGTATAATTTATACGAATGCTCAATAAAACTTAAAGATTAATTTCTACACTAAGCCATACCTCCATGACAAACCATAATTCAATTTTGTTCTGGTTTGTGAAAGCGCCATAAAACGACGGCATGTTCGGATGTGATGACAGATCTTTCAATATCCGATATTCTTCGTTAATGTCTTTTTCGTTGATCGAAATTTCTTTTAGGTTTTGAACTTTGACCGCCACATTTTTTCCTAAATAAACCATCCGTTTTTAGTACTTATTCATATTCACGCATGTACAAATTATACGTTCGTTTAAAATACGTGCATTGTTTCGTCAACAGAACAACAGATTAAACAATTATTGTACGATTCTAAACAATATTATGCGAGTTGTCTGATGTATTTTATGTTTAAAACCCATGTATCCGCTATAGGATTTAAACAGGCATGCACAATTATAATAATAACTCTTAAAGTTCAGTTTGCGCGATTCGTGGTTACGCCGAGAAGCTTCGGACTTTCCTCGACCCCCAATGATAATAATGTCATTTTATTTACGTTTAAAATACCGTATTGAGTTACATTATTTTCAATAGAACTACGAGGTTAACCGCAAAACTGTTTTAAAACTCGAAAACTCGTTTTTCAATAAAAAAAAAATCAACTAAACGCGACCACTGGAGGGACGCTCGGAGTGGGCTACATTGAATTTAACACTCTGAGACGCCACCACCGAGGGATTTCGGTAATCCGTAGTAATTTTTTCTAATTCGACAATTATTGTTAATTCATACACATAACATACATAATACTATTACGTAACTACTATATACATTGTGTACCTAAATAGTAGTTATTTACACCTAGATGCAAATATAAACCGAATTAAAATTCCTTGTAACATTTTATTTTGAAACGTGTATGTATTTTGTACGGTGGTATGCAAACGACACGGCGACCGGACTCACAAAAATATTTAACATAATATTACTCAACTCAAACGATTATATTATTGACGTGTCAAACTCTCGAACGTTGGGAATTCGAATTTTGTAATTCTGTAATATTCAATAATAACTCCCGAAGTTAAACATGTAAAAATGTTTTAAATAATATACCTTTGTGTCGTACAATTTAAATCAACTATAAGATAGTTTTATGGCTAAAGTTCCAGGTGTTAGTAGTTACGTTTATGACATAATAGTTGAGTTTAAAATGAATTGTTAAAAAATTACGTCCCTAGGGCTATACTTTGGCTCACTCCGGCCATGTCATACTTATTTTAACGATATTATTGTTTATTATCTATGACCGTGTTTGCGTTTTCTTATGCTGATATAATTATAAGTGATAACGGAACACAGGCACTTATAAATCGGTGTTTATCGACTATCTATGGGTAGTTGCTAAAATATTGTGATAAAACCACAAACAAATATTCTCATAAAATTACAAAATGCTAATTTTATACTGTAAATACTATAAAATTATCTATATTCGCATATTTTAAGTGTGTTAAAAAAACTCATGGAATACATTCGTACACCTTTACATTTCGCAAATATGCTACCAAATGATGTGTATACATATATTTATTTTTGTTATCAGATACATAATTCAAATTTCTAACGTTTTACTGTCCGACACGTAAATAATATTATTATTGTTCACACTTTGTATTATTTTGTTAAATGTTTTCGGGAATACCTACGTGTCTGCAAGATGACTGACTCCGTTATTGTTATCAGTTATCACCGATCAGTTATATTATCACCGATTTTATTATTAATTTCTTTTCAAAATGTACCCGTTAGGTTATTTATTTTCTATCCAAGTCTGATGTCTGAATAATATTTTAAGTCTAAAATAGTTTATTTCTACCATTATTAATTATTATTCTTTCTACAAACTATTATAAATTTGTTTGATATGCTATGTTATTATATATTGTAATATGTATTTTATTTTTGTGAATACAATACATACGCATCAATATTATTTATTTTATTCTATTAGGTTTTTAGGAACATGTCCAACACAAATGAAATCAAATGTATAGAATGTGGGAACAAATTTAAGTTTTTAATAAACTTAAGAGATCATGTAAAAAAAAATTATTATTATATTTCTATTTATTACAACTTATTTAACAACTAACTATTATAAATTGTTTATTTTTCACTATGAAAACTTAGAACTGTAAATTATGATCATACGGACTATTGTACTCGTTAACATATTATTAAGCTATTATTTTAATTTTTAATAATGACGTGTGTAAACCGAGTACTGACAGTACCGTGTACTCTGAATGTTATTCATCATGATTTTGAATATGAATCACGGTTAGGTAATAATAAACTGATAATAAAATTGGTGATAACCGATTACGAAGTAGGCCATCTTGCAGCCATTCGGATTCCCTGTCGCTAGACGTTTGTAACGGGGCTCGGTTGAGTACCATTTCGATACGTATTGTTTATAAAACACTTATATAATATCAAGTTGATAGAAATGTCCACTCGTATTTAATTACTAAAATTAAAAGAGGTTTAATTCGTTATGTCAGCCGTATTTTATAAAACAGCTCGTTAATATATTTTAATCAAAATAATAATAATTAGGTTGGTTGCATTTAAAAAATAATTTAATTTGTCCAAATACAATTGTTTACATGAAATGTTGAAACATATGGTATTTTACCAAATAATGTTAAGCCATTTAGTTACCATACTATTGTAACGACATATTACCAGGGCAGACAGTAAGGGCCGCGAACGAGGGTTTTCGATGTTTTCGAGGTTCCCGGGATTTTCCAGGATTTCAGTTTTCATATATCTATCATGTAAAATACTTATTATCTCGGAAAATGTAAACTTTTTTACATAATTTAAGAAAAATAAGAATCTCTAAAACGGTAGGTTAACTTTATTTTTTATCACCTTTACGTTTAGGAGTGAACTAACTACCGCATTTTAATTTCCAAATGATAATCTAAATTTAAAATTCCATAAATAGATGAAATTAAAAATACTCACGAGTTTAAATATATATTTTGGTATTGGAATTTTTATTTTTCGTCATGTCGTTGACGAGTGTTCCAGTTTTAAGTTTTTCGTTTAGTTTTTCATGGGTAGAGAGAGAGTTGTGGAGCATTATTTGTGTGGTGTGATGTTTATGAATTTTAGATTCTAAATAAAGCCTTTTTAGTTTTACTATAAAATGTTTTATTATTATGGTCTGTAAACTATTTGTTTATTAATCTTAATTTAATCAAACATTTTATAGAGACTTTCTTATAGAATTGTTGATCCAATTGGTACATTCAAAAGGTCATTTTTCGATTTCCCTTCAAAAACACATTTTTGTGAACTTTTGGGTAAGTTATCTAGGTGAGTGCAGATATAAATTAAATGATTATATTATATATGCTCCTTTCTGAATTTTCTCGTAAAATAGTGGCATATACTTATTAGTCTTAACGACGTTTAAACGCAAAGGTGACAAAAAAAAAAAAATAAAAAGGTTAATGCAACATTTTAGAGCCGCTTGTATCTTAAATATTCTTAAAAAAATAATGATTCCGAGATTGCAAGATATTGATTATCTGGAATATATAGAACACTGTATATACAAGTATACCCTACTAACCCTAATATATATAGAAACCCTCGAAAATCCGTATTAGACGTATATTGTTATAATATTACGCATTAATTCGTGAAAATCTATCAGCATGTCCATTATTTATAATAACACAATTATTATTATTATTATTGTTATTATTATTATAATTTAACCAGATTTCTTGTCGACGGCCGCGTAAACGTTACTGCATATCCCCGAGCCCAGCAGCCGGATCAGCTCAAAACGATCGCCGGCTTCCGGCAAATCGTTTACGTCCAACTGGTCGGCTCCGAGTTTCCCATCGCCGTCGCCCATCGTATGACGTTGTCTCGGGTCTGTCGTCGTCGTCGGTCGCGGTGAACGAACGCAAAGATCGCGAAACAGATAAGAAAAAAAAAAAAAACCGAAACTAAAAACCAGCAAACGGGGTGTCGTATCCGTACGTGAACGTACTACAACAGTCGTTTGTCCGATTCGTAACGGACGTCGGGCTCGAGCAGATCGACGATTGACTGAAGGTCCGCGAGGTACTCGTCAACGAGCCGACCGCGGGCGGATTACGGCGGAAACCGTATAAAAGACGTAATTGAATTACTAAAAAAAACCTTTTTGCACGCCGCCGCCGCCGGACATTACACACTTCGTGCTTATAATAATAATATTATAAACGCGTTTCCGTATTGCAATCACTACTCGTCGTATATAAGTTAAACAACGTTTATTGTTATATAAAAAAAATAATAATAATAAAAAATTGAGCTGCTGGGTGTGCCACTGCGGTTGTGGGCGGGAAGTTGAAAAGATAACGTTAATGTAATTCGATTAGTAAATGTACATGACGATAAATCGTTGCTAACAAAAAACAATTCTGAGCGAAAAATATAAATAAATAAAATAAAATAAGGTCCCTATGATTATTTAATTTAAGCAAAATTGAATATAGTGAAACCATATTATTGCCGAAAAACTTTCCCGTTTTCCCAACGTTTTTCCTCCGTTATTCCATTATTATTATGGGAATTTCTTGAAAAATCATACAATGAATTTCTTATGCATCAACTTGACAAAATTTTCTTTTAGAAAGGATGCTTTTCGTGAAATTTGAAACGAGATTTTCCAGTGTTTCCTAATTACTATATAAAACCCTTTGGAAAATCAAAAAAATGACATATTCAATGCGCCAAACAGTTATTTTTTGATTGGAGCAAGATTTCTAGTAGAAAAGTTGTTTACAGAAAAATCAAAAAAATGCACAAAAACATTCAGAATCTAAAGAAATTAAAACAAATCAAATCATCATTGTAACCCGCACGAGCCACGGGTCCTCTGAAAACTTCTATACATTATACTGTATACATCTATAATAAATGTAAAAAATATTATATTAAGTATTCGAAATATTATAGTAGGTATATCCGAATATTTTCGAATATTATACGGATCAATAAAGACTAAAGAGTCCTGATTATGTATGCGGCCTAGTATGGGGTGTTCTTTATTATCCCTCTATGTACAGTCTAAGGTGTATTTGTTTTGCGGCTTCATTATATTATAGAAGTCGTATGCGACTTCCTCGAATGCCATTGTTTTTTACTTTTTAGTTTTAGCTCGTCGAGAAACAACAAAACACTTGCATACTATAAGGCTATTATAACAATTATATATGTGAGGTATCTTGCAAGACATTTGATGGTTTTTTAATACAAATTTCTAGTACAATTTTAGAACAAATTTCAATGTTTTTTTTCTTTAATTTTCCCCGAAAATAGGGTGTTGTGTCAGTTTTATTTATTTTGTATGTATATTATTTTTAATTTATCATTTTCCCGCTACGTTTAGACATTTCTAGCGGCTCTCTCTGTGCTAAATAAGCTCTGACTAGGTAATTTCGAAAATTAAGGTGATTTTGTAAGGGTAATAAAGTGATACAAATTATTTTAATATGAAATTAAACGTTGTTGGGGGTGAATGGAGTTTTTTTATAACTTATTTAACCCTACAGATTCTTCAAATGAAGCCCCTCTGGCACAATTGTATCCTCCTATACAATCGTGTACGTCATGCATAGTGCTAGTATTCAATTTTCAACTCTCCCACCCCCACCATCCTATTACTTTTGTAATTGAATTTCACCATATTTTTTGGAGTAGTATATTAATTGTAGTTATAGTATTGTATAATATACCTATACATTATATGTTATTTATTGTTTTACAAAGAATGTTTCTATTCAGAAAAAAAAAAAATAGTTGGGGGGAAACTTCGATTCAGTTGACGGACCTCTGCTGTCACTGGTGTTTTTTTTCCAATGAGCACTTTATGACGGTATTTTTTTAACAATAATGCTGCGGATTTTAAGTTAGCGCGTTTCTTTATAATAATCAATTCATGTACAGTATATTAAAGCCATATACACAATAATAATGAATCGATATAGTACGACCAATCGTATGTTTGGCATGTCTAAAACGCATCGGGATCAAACGCGATGAAAGTGCAAAGATCTTAAGTTACGTTGGTTTTGAGAAATTTCATTAGAGGAAAAAACTATAATAAATAACCGACGACGCGCCTAAGATAATAAACCGTATTAATATGTTTTCTATATTAAAAAAAAATATATCCGTTTGGGTAAATATCATTGGAAATTACACCGGATTACATGATAATCTTTAATATAAAGATTGGTATACAGCATCGACTGTCTCGAACCGCTTTCGGGGTATAATAATTAAAGAGGACGTAAGATACCGGTATGTCATCCTGCCTCCGTTTTAAAAAACGTACGACATAATAAATTTACGTTTAGCAGGGACAGTGCTATGTGCAACGCGCTGTTAGTTTTAATATTAAAGTAAATCGCCTATATTATCAAACTTAAAGTTAAGACCGTATAAATGCGAAAGTAACTCTGTATATTTGTCTGTTACCTTTTGGCGCCTAATCCGCTAAACAGATTTTGATACAAATTTTGCAAGGAGATAAATTGCATCCTTAGAAAAGAACATAGGCTACCTTTTGTTTAAAAAATAAAGGTAGTGAAATGGACATTGTGTAGAAATTTGTTTATGCTGTAAGCACGTAAATATATGTTTTTGTATTCTATTCATTCTAAAATCAACAAATTACATCTTTAATGCACTAACTATAAATCAAATTCAACAAAAAAGTCTTGTTGACAATATTTCTGGTAGGAATATTATTATACAGAAAAAAAATACGTAACCTAGTAAAACCAATGGATCGCTCCACTACGGTCAAAATCCAAAATGTGATCATTAATTGTACAACAGTGGTGTAAGTGGTAAATACTTCAAAGAGAACTATACTTACCAGAAAATGAGGAGTGTTTCCGGGAACTAACTAAATCCAACTTAACTTTTCAAGTATTAAAGAATTTATTTTTAATAAAAATAATTTAAGTTTTAAAATCGCGTTAAAAATATTTTAGTGATAATAACTAATCTCCCTGGGGACTTCGAAGATTAAAAGGGACTCAATATATTTTTACTTTAAAAAAGAAGGGGCAATATACGTTCCTTTTCGTCCCCCCACTTTAACCACTGTTGTACAATTGAAAAAACGGAACTAGGTAAATTGGATTAGCGATAATTTATGTACATTTTGAAAACGGTAAACTGAGTCCCGAGGAAAGAAAGTTAGTCGATAAGTTGGGTCTCAGCTTCAATTATTATAATATATACCTTGTATCTACTTACTATTAATATTATTATTATTACCATATATATATATATCATATTATTAACGGGAAATTTACACTTATTAAAGTGTATAATGTGTATATTGATCAGTTTTGAATCTATAATGTTATTCTGTGTTAATATAATTTATGTATTAAATATTTAAAAAAAAAAAACCACTTACATTTTAGTTCAAATATAATAATGATATTGCTTTTGAATTTATAATTTTCGCAATCTATGTCATAATTATAAAATATATTATTGATTTGACTTCTGATAAAGTTTATTAGATATTAAAAAAAAAAAAAACACACAATTACATAATAATTGGTTTTTTGCTGGGGCTCGATTTATCTAATACTCTCTTCTTTTTTTTTTCCGGGACTAATTTACTACTAGATCCCGGTGTTTACTAGTTGTGGTGAAAATCAAAAAATACATACTAGTTGCGGTCAACTAAAAAAAAGGTTACTTACTAGTTGCGGTCACCCTATAAAACTAATAATAGCGGTCACTTAATCTGGTCTCCATTATACTAATATGAATATTCAAACATTTTTCTTTTCATTTATAACAGACTTAGGACTGTCAACATTTTTTATTTATTGTCTAGGTATGGTTAAAAATATTTATTTTTTTTTTTATAAAAATTGTTTTATTTTGTATTCTAAAACTCACTATTTTAAGAACTGTTAAATTATCGAATAATTCAGACATTTTTACGCGTAACCGCAACTCGGGAATAGATACACTATAAATGAAGTGACCTCAACTGTTATATTTGCTTGTTTCCAAAATCGCCAATGACCGCAACTCTTAGTACAACTCGTTAGAAAACAACGAAAAACTCAAAACCGTTAAACTCAAAACTGACGTCTCAAAAATGACCGTCACCATTTTGCTCAAATTTAGTTATTATACAATTCTCGTTGCGCCCAGACTAGTTTAGATCGATTTAAAATTAAGTTGGCAATGATTATTATATTTTATATATTATATAATATTTGAATATAGTCTAGCGTTACCCAGAGAACACCACGAAGAAGCGATACTTTTTATTCTCCGTCATTTTTTTTTTTAAACTTTAAATTCAGTTTACGTTGAAAAATTGTAATTAAAATGTTGTGCAAGCAAAATAAAATGTTATGATTTTATTAAAAATCTATTTAATAATACCTACACATTATTTTTAAAATCGAGTAATTTTATTTGATTGGTACCATGTTATTTTTGTTCGATTGTTCTTTTGTCTTCGAATTATTATTTGCATCTTTCGATACTTTTGGTATTTCAACGCTATTTATTTTTATATAAGTATTAGCTTTGACACGATTTCGTACAACATTGTACTAATTTGATACAGATGGAAAATTAGAACAAAAATTATTATTAAAGAACGAGTGAAACGACTCACACATATTCGTCGTAAACACTCGAAAGTGTAAGTGTACATGTAAGAGTAGATGCGCTATCGCTGTACTGTTCGCTAAATTATGTATTATTGATGATGTACAATATTTGACTGAACCATTGCTAACTTAATTTTAAATTGATCTAAACTAATCTGAGAATCTTAGAATAACAAAATTTGGATGAAACGGGTATCCGGGC